GAACACGGGCAGTTGCAGACTTGGCTGCTGTACAGCTGGAAGCCTCCGAGATGGCAATTTTGCATGCTTTAAGGTCAAACTGTATTGTTCAGTGAAATTCCAGCTCCTGGCTTGTCTTACAGAGATAATAGCGTGTACTAGCCCAGTGGAAAACTGAAGACAGATTGGTTTGGAGTTATTCTGACTTCAACACACTGTTTGGGACAGTTGCTCACATACCTGCTAATGGTTTTTTCCACCCCAGACTGATGAGTATTTCAGTAGTGCTGTCAAAACACTTAAGCAGCCCTTGCTCACAGCCACTTGTTCCTGTCCTGCTTCATCTGAAGAGTTATGCCAGTACTGTTTGTAGCAAGCTGGACTGGAAAACTGATGGAGATGATTAAAAGTGACGATAAAGGCTACTTTTACTACAATATTCCATAACCCAGTTCAGTTTCCTTGACTGAGCTCACAGTGTTGCCCCAGAAAGCAGTTGTGCAAGCACAACTCGCTGGGTAAATGGAAAATGAATTTTCAGAAGGTATGAGCAATGCTAAGCTAGTATGTGTTTGCCTCTAAATAAAGCAGTCCTTTTCCACCCTTCCTGGCTACTGGCTGTGCAGTGCCTGCTCCCTCTCTTGGTCAGCTTCAATGCTCATCTGACTGCTCAGTGATCCAGTTCAGTTTGCTAATCTGGCAGAAACTAAAGCCAGCTGATGGAGGGAGGAAAATGATTTGTATTTTGACAGCGCTGGGCTGTTAGACAGGCTCCACCATTCCTGTGAAGCTTCACTTGGCAGCACAGATTACTTAATCTGACATTGCTGCCAACATCGATTCTTGTCCAACAGGGGTTTTAGGCAATCTTCATTTCTTAGCACTTCTGGAATGTCGGGAGAGAGTGACTGTTGTCTGCAGATAAAACCCAAATGAGTCTATAAAATCAGGTAAGCTTGTTCCAGCAATGGGGAGATGGAAGGACAGGAGAATGAGAAGGGGCTACAGCCCCGTGTCTCAGTGCCGTTCCCATAAAGGAAGAAGGTGGAGTGGGTTTTCTTTGTGGGGCGGCATTTTAGCTGGTTTATTTTTCTCCCGTTTGCTCTATTTTGGGTTTGTTTCCCCATCAGTTTTCAGGCTTGGATTCCACCCTCTCTCTCAGTGCACACAAGTACAATTTCTTGTGTATCCTTTACATATGCATAGCACACGCTGTATGTTTTAGATAAAAACCCAGTCTGAAGATTGAACCACCAATGATTACATCTTTGGAGGGAAGAGAATTGCTGCTCCTCACGCTCCTGCCAACCCACATGCTTCTTCTCTAGGGCTGTTTTTCTTACTTTGCCTGTGCTTAAGAATATTAGCATTTAAATGACCCCTGCTAAGTGGTGATATCAACACCTTGTTGATAGGAAGAGGAGGCAGTTTTACTGGGTTTTGTTTCTCAACCACTTCTGTAAAATGTGATAAAACCTGCAATTCCAGCAGTGGGTTTCTTTTTCCAAATGTTCTTAAGGAGACCAAGCTGGACAAACCGATTTTCTTTCTTTGGTTTTTTGACTCCAGACAAAAGTGTTGTATTTGAGGAACCAGCAGAAATAAGGAGAAGAGGGTAAAGCTTCCACTTCTACAGCTTCCCAGGATGATTTTGTGTCCTGGACTGTGGTGGCTCGGAGGTGCTGCTGCATAACTCCGCGGTCGTTTAGCAGATTTCACCCCAATAAGTTATTAGAGCCTCGTGGCCAGAGTGTTTCCTTGACTTCACCGATGTGTGACAGCCACATGTGATACAGACAGAAGCCACAAGCAAATACTCCTGTGTTATCTTGTCCTGTTACTGAACATTGCCTGTTACCTAGAAGATGGGCTATTCTTGTGTTGCCTGAAAAGCAGGAGCCAAATACAGCTCTGATGTGGTTAACAGGTCGTTCATTCATCATCCCATCAGTTTTTCTCTAGAGGAGGAAGGTTTCATGAATACCTTCCACTTCTGCATCCATAACTCCGGTGGGTCCACGATAGGACAACATTTGGGTCGGCCCCAGAGCAGACAAGCCTTGCTGTGCGCTGTGCGTTGCCCCAGCTGTGGTTTAGATTTGGGCTGTCTTTGGTCCTTGTGCCATCATTTTTGTACATGAACAAGTAAGAGTTGATCCAGTCAGGTCCTTGCTAAGCCAGCCTCTGCTGGAAGCTGTTGTGCCATAACCTGCAGTATTTGAGCATGGGTGAAGTCCAGGATGGCTTGGGGAAGTCCAAAGGGAACTCCTGCTGCTTGGGGTTCAGCTGGAAATGTATCACAAAGCTCTTCTGAGGCCAGACAGGGAATGTATCATGACAGTGAAATGTCTAAACGGGTAATGTGTCGTTAGCATTTATTTTGCACTGTGTTGGCATTTGTTTTGGGATTCTCCCTGTATGACATTTGCTGTCTGTTTGTCTTTCACCTTTCACAAACACCGTTTCATTTTCCCACCTAATGTTTGTGTTTTGGCCATGGTTTTGTGCCCATCTGTGCGAGTGCAATTGAGGGGTGGCTTCTAAAGAAGAAGAAAGAAGATAAATATAGGTATTGAGCTAATTGCAGTGTGTAGATCAGGAGGGAGTTTTAGAGAAGTGTCTGGTTGCTGCCATGGAGTCAGCCCTCTAGAGAAGAAACATTTGATGCCCTAGATTGACTGCTGCTCTTATCTGTTGCTTTGGAAAGTGTGGTATTAGTAGAAATCATTTGGTCTAACAGGGTGGTTGTCTTTCTTCCCAAGTCAAATTTGCTGTCTCTGTATTGCTTCAGCAGAAAGCCTTTATACTATTCAGTTATTTCTCTGTATTATTCTAAATTTCTGTTTTCTTTTACATTGGACGTGGTCTGATCTCCAGGTGACTGATTGCCAGTTAAGGTGGATAAGATTGTGTAAATGTTAAGAGAGTTGCTGTCTAAATGTTTTCTTCTAGGACTCAAATGTTTGTTCTTTAAATCCCCGGGCTCAGTCATGGAGAAAAGGCACCTCATTATAGCCTGTTGTGGAAAATCTCTGGCAAAACTGAGCCTGCCCTTTGAAGCTGCAGCAGCTTGCAAACCACCACGCTTGGTTGTCAGGCAGACACAGCACAGATGGCGAGTTTACTTGTTGCTTGGTCAAAGCCAGCACCTGGGTGAAAAGCAGAAGTTCAGGCTCTGAAGCCTTGCTGGCACATGCTGCAGAAGATTGCTTGGGTCCACGCACACCTGGGAGATGACAAAACCCATTTGTGCTGTGTTCTCGTTAGGGTTTAGCAGAGCACGGAATGCTCCTGTTGCAGGAATGACATTCTGGTGAAGTTGGGATGTCTTGCTGTGGGAAACGCTGTGAATTTCTCTGCTCCTAACAGCAGGTTGAGGGTAATTTTCTCCCCTTTTTAAGGCACTCATCAGGATGCTTTCTTTGTGCTCATTACTGCTGGCTACACAGATAGATGTTGTAGCATAGAAGAGCTAAAGCCATGAAATCTTAAGAACAAAACCATGTCACTTCTCTAATTTGAGCTAGGCTTGTAGCCCGGTCTGTGCTTGGATACGTGGTAAACTGTGCCATCATTATCTTCACAGCTCACAGCTAGCAGTGAAGGATTTCAAACCACTCTTCCTGTGATGTTCTCTCTGTTTTCTCCCCTGATGGTTATACAAGGAAGCCCAAAAGCTGCCCTCCCTGAGACTGGTCCTTCTTGAAAAGAGTCTGTAAATAGACTGTGCGGTCTCTGGAGAAAGCACAACATCACTTGTGTGTGAACAGAATGGAAAATGCAAGGTGGGAGCTACTGCTGTACCGAAACGGGGGGTGGTGGTGAAAATATTAGTTCTGGGAGAGAGCTGAATCAGTGTTCCGGGTGAGAAGGGGACAGGGAGGAAGGAGGGGGACCCCTTAAAGCATCCTTTTGAATGGTGGGCTGCCCAGTCTGGAGCTGCAGCCGAGCCTCTGAAATAAAACTGAGACAGATTTAGGAGACACAAGTGGTTAAGTAGGAGATGGATATATTTATCTTCCATTTGTTTGTTTAAGTGGTGTTTTAAAAAGAAGTTATTTCTCTTGGATGCCATTTTTACCATTGCTAGTCTCTTTCTTCAGCTTGTTTGCAGTGTAATCAGCAGTTCTGAAGCTAGTTATCAGCTGGAGGATGACTTGCAAATTGTGATAGTGGGCTACAGCTTTCAGCTGCACTTATTTGCTTTTCCCTCTCTGCCCTTAATATTTGGCTTCCAGCTTCCTCAATATAGCAATAGGGTGCTATTGCTTCTGGCTCACTGGTGTGACACAACAGTGTATATCTTGGGGGAAAAACAGGAAATACCTAAACAAAAAATAAAGGTTGAGGGGTATGTTGGGCAACAAGGAGCTGAGTGTTTTGGAAGCTACAAAATGCGACTCTGTGATTAGAAACACAGGGTAAATTCTTTGCCTCCCTTTGAAGAAGACCTGTCCCTGACTTCAGAAGGTGAGGATTTTGGTCTGTGTTGGTCGTAGCTACACAACAGCTTTCAACCATGCTGACAACTGTGACATCAGTATTAATGATGGACACTGGAAGGACATAGAAGCTTTTCAGGCAACAGACTGCATGTCATAGCAAAGAGACAGAAAATGCTTAGTGTGTAAGCATTTTATTTGCTTTGTGCCGAAGACTTCTCTTAACGAATACTTGACTAATTTAGGATGCCTGGGCAAGCTTTAACGGTCAAGAGAAACAGGTTTCCGAGGAATCTGATGTATTTCACCTACCAACTGTTTCTTCACTTCTGCCTTTTTCCTAACACAAGTATTCCGAACAGATACCTGAAACTGATGTTCAATGTTCTTTACCAGTGACTGAGCTGGTTCTGTTCACAGCAACGTGTTAGTAATTTACTGCCTCTTGTTGTGTGTCTGGTTTTGCATTTCCTGACCGGGGCACGGGTGTGCGGGGGGGTGTGTGTCTGTGTGTGCAGAGGTGAAGCGGGGACAGATGTTTAAAGTGTGTCTTCTCACGTGCCAGTTTTAATTTTGCAGACGATATCAGAAATTGCAGAAGATAATGAAGCCCTGGTAAGAACCCGATTAGATCATCACCTTGCCCACTGCCTCCTCTGTTGCATGACTGGGCTCAGGCCCTTTCACTAATTCTTTATACAGCTGTGCTTATTCATTCAGCAAGTCTTCAGCCTTCTCTGTTTTCTGCTCTTTGATGCCTGTTGAAATTTTCTCATGAAGCCTTCTTTGCTTTGCTTGTGGAATGAGTGCTTCATTTCTGTAACTCCTGCAGGGGCTTCTGCTACTTCTGAAGTAAGGCTTTTCCTTTGTTTTCTTTGTGAATTCGAGCAAACACAAGATTTCCTCACCTTCCCTAATTCCCCTCTTACATTTGCCTGGCTTACGTGGTTGATAGCCGGCAATTCTAATTGTTGGTGTCAGTGAGATGAAAGTGTGGCCAGTTTGAATTCCTATTATTTGCTGGTCCCAGGTAATGGCAGCTGTTGCAGATAACTGCATAACAGCAAGCTGTGATACAGTAAAGGGCCTCCTATCAGAAAGTTCTGAAGCATGCTTATTTCCGTGATGATGATTTTGAATCACCTTTGAATTGATCTTCTGTGTGCTTCAAGTGAAGCATGGGCTTTGATAAATTGGGACCCCCAAGAGATACTCCAATATCTTGATTGGTTTGGAAATTTGACATCTCAAGTATAGCTGAAGCCCAAGGAAGCAAAGGAATAGTTAATCAGTTAACCACAGATCTGTCACTGAGAGCCTGATGTAGTTTATCACCCAGGAGATGCAGCTCCCTGGCTGAATCCATGCTAAATCGTACTTTCACAAAGTATAGACCAAGTTCTGAAACATTTATTTTTAAACCTAATCAATAAATTAGTAAGAATAAATTTGGCAGGAAACTTGAGTCCTTCCTCTCCTTTCTCAACCTAGTACAAAGTAACTTGTTTCATAACAGAAAAGTTCAGATTGGGAGGAAAATGATTAAAATGGAATGAGGTTCAGAATTCTTGGCAGCATCTCCTCTGCTGAGAAAAGGTACCTCCTGTGCCTTTGGATGGTGCATTTTTCCTCACTGCTGTGGAAATAGTTCTTTGTGGACAAAATAGTTCTACTCCTTCTGCATCCCTGTGCTCCCAAACTCTGTTATCCTGTAGGCTTCTCTACGTTAAATTCTGTGCTTGCTCTCAAGACAGTACTAAAATACTGAGAGTAGCATTGCACCCTGGGTTTAGGACCTCATCATACCGATGTGCTGAATGGATTATTTCTTTACAGTTTAGTTTTGGTTACTCGTGGGAACAAGGCATTGCCCACCTGAGTAGGATTCTTACTCATCAGTGTAGATACAGCATATCAATGGGCACAGTAGTAAAGAAAGTGTATGTGACTGAAGTTTATCCTAGCTTTGGAAGTTAGAGCCTGTCATTAAGCTTCAGTTTGCACTGGGGCACGTAGGTTGATATTTTGATTTCCACCAACAGTACATGAAATGATACAATTAAAATAACACAAGTTTGGGACTTGTGCTAAAAAAGATACCAGCGCCATTGGTCGGGATGTGAAACCAAGAGTTTTGGAAGCTGGCCTGTTGTGCACTTTGGAAGTGAAGCTAATACACTAGTGCGCTTATCGAACGTCCTGACTGTTTTTCACTCATGTATTAATGGAAAAAGCTCAGATGAAACAAAAACTACTAAAAGGACCCTCAGAATTTAGAGAGAACTAAACTAAACTTGAAAATCTTGCAGGCTCCACCTGCTGTCTCCTTGACTGAAGAAACTTACAGCAAATGGTAGCAACAACAACCAGTTACTTTTAATTTAGAGGATGACATATTTCATCAAGTTGCCAGTATTTCATTTTAGCTTGCCCCTGACTTAATTAAAACCTGGTTTTCACAGAGAGCCCTGGTTCAATAGCTTCCTCCATTGGAGGAGGTTCTTCTAAAATGTGAGTTTCTTCTTCTCTGTCCTTTCAGCTTTAGGGCTTCCTAATTTGTTTCAGGATTTTATGTATTCTGTGGATCAAACAAAATAAAGAATTCCCATGAAGTGCCCTTTGCATTGCAGAACTGAACTGTAGTCAAAATATGCAGAGTGGAGCATAGTGTAGTTATTCCTGATCTTTTAAGAAAAGCTGGTCCATTTAAGGAAATTACCATGAAATGAGCAAAACCAGGAATTTTAAAGATGGGGAATAATAGAAAAGGTAATTCTAATCACATCTTCATGAAGAAACAGTGTATAATAGTTCCTCTGGGCTAGTTTCCCATGCAGACAAATGCTTAATGTACCTCAAAGTGGATTTAGCCATATTCCATAATGAGAGTATCTGGATTTATTCAAGAGTAGTTACAGTTCTGTTTAAAATTTGCAGCTTGTTTTGTTTAATCAGAGTTTGTTTTGGAGCTCAGAGAAGCCCTGAGACCGGCATACAAAGGTATTTCAGGTTCTTGGAATGCAAGTGGTTTAAAATTAGTTGGGCTGATCGCTTGTAATGAAGGGGCTGAAATTGTACCACAAAGAAGTATTTCAGTGGTGCTTGGCATGGTGCAAAAGGAAGAAGAAATATATAAACCTGTGTCACAGTGTGGCAGTTTAAGTGCATTTCCTGTAATCAGGAGAAGATAGGGGCAGCCATGCCACAGATTGTTCAGTCATTTTCAGCCGGACTGAGCACCAAGTGGGTGTGAATTGCTCCTAGTTTGATTTGATTTGATGGTGGCTTAGCTTCACCCTTGGAAAGGTTACGTGAAGAAACAAGGCAGTGTAGAAGCAATGGAGAGGAGCCACAGCAATAAAAAAGGTGCTTGTTCACACGGTGCTTGCTGAGCATCCTACTGCATCATCAGTCTTCATTTCAGACTTAGATTCTTGCCCCCATGGCTTTTCCAGAGCTCTTGTCCTCTGATGATTAGATATATTCTGCTCCCCTGTTTAAATTTATTCATGGCCATTTATCCTTGACAACTCTATCGTAAAAAGCTGGTTTTACTCTTTGATGTTGGCCTCAATGATGTCAGGCCTTTCAGCTGCCCAGTATTGGGCTGAGAGCACAGTTGCTGCGTGATAAGAGAGTTAACTGCTTCCTTAACTACTGCAATTGCTGCTGGGCTGCTATTCTTCTGTTACCTCCTGCCCAGTTAAAGCTATTCCCTTCTGCAGCCTTCCCTGTGCACAATTACAGATCAGCTTTGGTCCTGTTTTGACAATGAAAACTGGTTTGTTTTGAAGATGTACTGTCTTTGGCTTCTAGTCCTAATGGGCTGGTGGCTGTATCCTGGTTGTGACAGACAAGCAGCAGTTAATTTCCATGTTCTCTTATGCAACTTCTATCATATAAAACATGTGAGACAGTCCCCTTAGACTTATACAAGCTTGTATTGCCTTCTTTTTTTTCTTATGACAGCTGAGCCTGGCTAATTAATCTTGATTTAAAGAATCATTTGAACAGGCGAGTGTTTTTCTCCAGTAGTAAGAAAATACTCTTTTTGGTATATGTGTTAAACATGGATAGAGGTTTTTTTCCTTTTTCCTTTATTTTTCCCCCCAATTACTTAGGGGATTTGGGTGCTCAAGTGCCATTAATGTATTTTGATACGAAATCCAAATTGCTTTAGGCATCTTTCAAAATACCAGGTATAGTTTTCTATATAGTTTTCTATAGTGTGTGTATATATATGTATATATACACACACACCTGAGGATTACTTAACACACCTGATAAAAAAGGCAGTTTCTCATGTGGAAATGGTTCTAGGAAGGCAAGAGAAAGGCTGGTGTGTTAGACTCCCAGCGTATGGAGTCCGCAGCAAAGAGCCAGAGCCCTGCAGTGTTCAGGAGGGGTTGTACGAGGAGCTTGCCTGAGAGCATAGATCATTAAAATGTCAGTGTTGGTGAGAGATAGGAAATTGCAATTACACAGGGTATCTTTCTGATCATTTTTCCCCTCTTGCTGCACTGACACACATTACAAAGCACCTTCATCAGGAATTACCTTCAAACTATGAAGTTGTTTTGCCGGAGCAGTGAGGGTTTGGTATTTACGGAGCTGTCACGCTTTGTGCTGTGGATTAGACTAAAAAGATTTTATGAAGAAAGAGGCTGTGTTATTTTTGCCATTTTTTGTCTGACAAAACAAGATTTGAGTTAAACAGCTCCTACCATGTATTTTCCAAGATTCCTACTTTTATGAACAAGCTTGGATTCCCTTGAAATTTCTAGCATCTATTCTATATGCTGCTCTTAATAACTTGAGTGCGTGTTATCTGTCTTGAAGTAAATTGTTTGGAAGCCTATTTCTACCTATCTGCTTGTGTTTGAACACGTAACAATGAATCAACGCCGCTCCCTTCCCCCTCCAGATACTTTAATCCTTACCTTGCTCTAGTTACCCTGGAGATTGCTTTCATTTCTAGCTGTGCTATTCCTGATGCTTATCCTTTAAGCCTGGCTTTTGACTTTTGCAGTGCCACTTAGTGTATACACGTGTGTGCAGGTGCGTATGTGTAGCTATATATTTACAGTGCACGTGTATGTAATGCTGCAGGATATATAGAGCTGGAGTATTTCTTCCTGCTTGAATAGTCCCAGTGTTGTACCTGCCTCTTTGATCTCATTAGTGATTTGAAGCAATGTCACTGGAGGGACATCTGGTGGGGTGTCTGATCATTTTAAGTTGAAAACTGCTTTCACCTTCTGGATCCCAGTGGTTGTGTCATTGTCACATCTACTTAAACAAGTTTATGTGTTAATACCAACATCTTCAGTTTCCCCTCCAAAGCTGTGGAGGAGGCTGGATTATGGGCAGGATTAATCAGTAGTTTTAGTGAGAATAATACATGAGACAGTTGAGGTTAGTTTAATTCCTTTACATTCCAGCCACTGCTGAAGGTGAATATCTATATGCAAGTTTAATACAGTGCAAGTAATCTCTCAAAACTAAACCCATTGTTAGTGGGGATTAGCTTTCATGTACAATTAGTTTATAGCAGAGTAGTTATGTGCTAAATACAGATTAATTGATTACGTTTTTAAGCAATATGGGAGAAGATCTAGGGGAGATAAATCACCTGCTTAGTTTAATGCTGGGCAAGGTATTTTTATCTACTTCTCAACCTATGTGACCTATCTTTTTGTATTTTTTTTTCTTTGCATCTCATTTAGTCTGGCTACTTAAAATACCAGAATTACATATATCTGTGGAATTATTCTGCCAGGAAGATGCATGAGAAGTTGGTACAAGTTTTTAGAAGGAAGCCTTTCCTATGGGTGCTGTTTGATTTATTTATTCATAAATAACCATTGTATGCAGAAGAAATGGTTTGGGGAAAATGGCAGGACCAGAGCTGATTAAATTTCCTGCAGAGTGTTATTGTTGTCTTGTTATGAAATCCTTGGTTAGTTGGAATGGGACTGATGACAGTTAAAGTCTAATTTAATTCTAAAAGAATACTGCAGTATTAAAAACCAAGCGAACAAAACCACCTCCCCAGACAACCTCGAAACTTTCCGTATCGTGTTATTTGCTGAACAAAATGTGAACAAACTATTCCTTGCAGAATTACAGTGTGTTTTTTAAAGGCACTTTGTTTTTCATAAAGAAATAGTCTTTTTCTTGCTCTTAGGTGTAGTTTTTAGTGGAGGGCATCTGCGGAGTTTTGATGAACAAGAGCTCCTTTCTTAAATGAAGGTGCTACTAAAGGCTGCATCTTACTATCAGACACCCCTAAAAGACAGATTATGTCAAATCCAGGAAAGTGGCTGTTGGAGTTGCTACATGGAAAGTGTTTTTTTGCCTTATTCGTCTGACCTGCTGTAAATACCTTCCATCTGAGTGGATGTTCACTTACTTGTGTGAGTTGGTGCCGGACAGTAGGAGAGCAAAGCACAGAGTCAGGATTACCAAACACCAAATTGCTTAACAAGTGCTAGACTCGGGTTTTCAACACATAGAGCATTACAGTTCCAATCTGACAGAGCTTTTTTGAATTTTACCTTTTTATTAGGCAAGCTGTTGCATTCAAATCACTGGGACTATTCACGCTGTTTGATTACATAGCCAGGTGCCCTGGCTATATATAGAACTTCAGCTGATCTTTAAAAGCTGGTTTTTAACCTGGAAAACTCCTGTGCAGCTATTCAGGTTAGAGCACATTATTTATGTTGAGATACACCTCTTTTGAATTTAGTTGAGTTCATACAAAGATGCCCTGAGCCTTGAATTTACAGGTGTAAAATGCAGTGCAGTGGCCTAAACAACCGGAACTGTGTGTTTGGATAAACTCCGGGAGCTTTGAAACTTGCTTGAGATGGTCACCCATAGACAAAAGGAGATGCATCTTCAGGTTCAGAGGAAGAAAATGAGGCATTACTACTAGAAAATTCCCACTGAGTAAATAATCCTAAAAATATATTTGTTTCCGTATAAAAGAAGGAACAAACACTCCACTGACTTCCTGCCAATCTGCTTGATGCAGAGGTACCAAAAGGTGGCACCTCTGTATGACTTTCAATTAGGAACATTTCCATAAGTTGCGAAGAAAATCTCACTTCTTCTGTTAGATCTAAACCTCTGACTCTATAAGAGAAGCTTAATTTGGACTATCTGATTTCCTTGAGCATTGCATTTGGTGTTCTCCCGGGACTTAGTTCTTCTCTTAGAAAATTGCTTTCTTCCAGGTGACTGTTCTTGATGTCCATGCTAAATTGGCTTGGATACTCTCTGTTGCACGGCCTCTCTTGCTCTTCTGCTACCTCTTAGTCTGTGATTGGCTTCATTTTCCTGCCTTTCTGAAAGCTCCCTGCTGCTTTATTCCCTCGGTCATTGCCCTGCTGCATTGCTGGTAAATGTTATCCTGACTCCTGTCTCTTGCAGCTTTGGAGATATGTTGTCCTTTACACTGACTGCATTTGTTGAGCTGATGGATCATGGGATTGTATCGTGGGATACATTCTCTGTGGCGTTCATTAAGAAGGTAAATTTGTGATCAACTCTTACCTGTTCTTTATCACTTTAAATTTTTGAGGTGAGTCAGTGTTTTATTTTACTTCCTTCCCCCCCCCGCCCCGGTACATTATTTAGGCCATTGGTCAAAAAAGTACATGAAAATGGGATTCAAGTGCTATTTCAAACCATCAATATTTGTAGTTGCAGGATCTAACCCAACTTCTACGGAAATCAATGGGAGTGAAATGGGATCAACACAGTATTAGGCCTATTACACAAGAAATGGTTTGCTCAATTAGAGTGTGACTTCCCTGTGCAGATACCGTGAAGTTAAAGCAAAAATTGATCTTTTGATTCCATGTAAAATAAAATGAGTTAATACCATCTTTCTGGAAACAAAACCAGCACCAAAATGTTCCCTCTGGGGGTATGGGAGGAAGAAAAATGAATTGGTTTACAAATTGAAATTAAGCTGCTATCTACTGAGTTTATGAAGTTGAACTCTGCCCCCCGTGAATCTTGCAGCTGAGGGCTGTGGTTTTGAAACGGATCTTTCCACAGTTTGCAGCATCTATTGTCTTTTCTTGCGTGTAGGAGATGCACAAAAGCAGCAGGAACATGGGAGTACTCTTTAAGTACAGAGATTGAACAGGATCTGTTACTGACTTGACCCTTTTCGTTTACTGTGTGTGGGGAAAAAAACAACCCACACTTCTTTACAAAGAATATTCAGACCAAATTGAACTCAGAACTTAAGTTAAAATGAGTTTTACAGGCTCAGAAGAGATCAGTTACTTCATTAAAACGATATCAGAAGCAGTAATGGAATGAATATGAAGTGTGGCAAAGATATCTTCATTTTAACAGTGTGGGTCAGAGCAAAGACTTTTAATTTAGATTTGGTTAGAAAATTGCTACCATCAAAGGAAAGTACAAATGTCCTTTTGTTGCCAGAAGTGAAAGAAGAATTAATTATGAAAAGAGCGTTAGATACTAAAGCTCAGTTTTGGTCATTAAAAATGATGGATGCTATTTGTGAGGAAAAAATCAGTGTAATTGGTCTGGTTTTTGGTCTCTCTTTTTGCCAATCTTGCAGTCTGAGACAGATGATGATGATGATTATTGTTCACTTTCTATGGCAAAGAAAACAGTGTTTTTGACTGACTTCGTCATATACATGGTCAAGCCCAGAATGCCTTATTTGCTAGGGGAGCCTACGAAGAAGTCTATAAAGAAACTTGCTAAAATGACTTTAAATCAGTCTCCTTTGTTGGTGACTCAAAATGACTGTCTTTGCCTAAGGGTATCAACATCTTTTGCCCTGTGTGGTAAGTGCAGAAGGCAGTGTTGTGTGCTCTTTTCTCCTGTCTGGCACTTCCATGGGTTTCCCTGGAACAAAAGCATTCTCATGAAGTACTTGTGAAAAGCAGAACTGGCGAGGAAGAACCCACAGTGAAACTGGTGGGCGAGAAAGGGACCAAGCTGAAGAATAGGACAGTTAGAAGAGAAAAAGAAGGACAAAGAGTGACAGAAGGAGGGAAAAGAGGCACGGGTCTGAAGTGACCTGTCACACAGTTGGGAACTGGAACAGCAGAGCCCTCAGTGGGTCTCTGTGGGCAAGGGGCAAACTTAGAGCAGCACCTTTGGACCATGGCTCTCTGGCAGCTACAGCTTCATTTTCACTTGCTTCTTGACCTTGGCTTTTGACAGGCCACTTGAGGTTGCTGATGGGCTTGCTCAGGTACTTGACAGGATGGATAAGGGAGCTGATAAGTTTCTGCTAGCTGAGGGGGAACTTTGCAATCAAGTGCTTCTGCCCTTTGAAGCTGTGTTTCATGTTGAATGGAAGCCAAGCTGGAATGGGGACGAATTCATCAGAACTTTCTTCTTGAGTAGTTTTCTAACTTAAAAATGTAGAAACTGGAGACCTCAAAGGAGCCTCCAGCTGCTTCTAATGACTCTTGGTGTTGGATGCAGTCTCCCTCCCATCCTTTGGGTACATTAAAACTGCTATTCCAACTGCGGCAAGTAAGGGTTGACACAGTCGAGGAGAGCTTTGTTCCTTACCTTAAGGGAAAATAGCATTTTGTAAGATTTGTAAGATTCTCTCAAGACCTTTTCCTTGCTTATGATGATAAAGTTTATTTCCAGCTTCCTCGTTGCCTGAAGGGTTTGGATGCCCAGTTCTTACAAAATGTCTTGGTAACTGGATATCAAAATACTCCCGTCTTTAGTTCCTACAAGAGAAGTCAAGTCTGTAGTATCGGTTGAGATAGTTAAAAATATCTCTTAGAATTATTTATATAGTTGCTGTTTCATAACTGTGGGATGCAGAGCCTCAACCTTGATGAATTGTTTACTCTGCCTCGAACGAGTACTGTGCAGAACAAGGGGGTGGCAGCAGGGAGAGGATCTCTGTGTGCCACAACTTTCAGTTGGTCTTTCTATAGTCAAGTGCAACTCGAATTCCTTACTTGAAAATGAGATGCATGCTTGAAAATTTTACTATGCATTAGCACGTCAGAGAATGGAACCTGGTCAGGTTTTTCTGCCTATTTCTGACATCAGAATGGTCCAGACAAGTAACATAATGAGCACAGCACTGCTCAGAGAATCCAATCTGTTCCCTTCGCTGTTTTCCCTCTATGTATTTTGATGGGGGTGCAGTTTATTTTGTTAGGGTGGGTGGGTTTTTTGGTTGGTTTTTAACTTTGATTTTGGGGTGTTTTGTTTTGTTTTTTAAACTTTTGAATTCTGTCCTCTGCTTTATGTGGTGCTGAAGCAGGGAGATTAACACAGATGATGTAGCTGGGTTTAGTATAGGTTTCTCATCTGCCCTCACTTTGCATGTTTAGCTCCTGTTTTAGCAAAGCATTGGGGCTGATTGTGTAAAGGCATTCTGATTCCTCATTTCCCTTGGAATTGATAGGAAATTGAGCACCCAGCCACTTCTGTGGCTATATATGTCCTGATAGGGCTATGCACATATTAAGATCTTGGGTATCTTGCTGAACAAATAGTTTTATCCTTAACAAGACAGATCCAAGTGACAGGTTTTCATGCAAAGTGCAAAGCAATGAGGTCGGTTATTTCTGGAGGGGAGGTTGTGTTTCTGTGAGCTGCATTATTTTTATCATCAGAGTTTTTGATAAATGAGTGCAGGATTATTTTGGGATGTTGAGAGCCCTCCCTGTGTGTGGTGCTCAATACGCAAAGAACAGCAAAGAACACAGATTTGGATCCTATTGTTTCTTGTCTCTTTTCAAGAAGGGTCTGTCTTTTCCACATCCAGAACTTCAAGTATGGTAATAGAATTGCTTTTGCTCTCTCTGGAATTGGCATGCCTTATTGATCAGGATAGACAAGCTTGTTATTTCTGGCCCAGGCTTGATGCTTCAGCAAGGTGGTTATGAATATACATAGCTTGACATGCAAGTTACCTAGTGGATGTTTTGCATGTGTATTAAGTGTGATATCTCATAGCTTTTTAAACACGTAAGCCAGCTTTCTACCTTGTGTTTTGTGGTTAGACAATGCTATGGTCCGGGGTTGGAAGAATAAATGATGTCTAAGGCAGCCTGTCCTAGGCTGAGGTTTCAGTTATCTATACTGTTACACTTCTGCAGGCCCCTGGTATGAATATGTTATATCCTTGTGAAGCATTTACATCACTTGAAATATTATGGGAAGGAGCTGCTGCACCCAGAATAATTCATACATGTCAGGGCTTCTGAAGAGGATGGTGACAGCAGTCTGACAGACCCTGATGTACTGTGTTCCTGCTGCACAGTTGATCCATGGATCAGCCTGGTGACAGAGGCATCCAGAGCACCTTTGGTTTAGTGTGCGAATAGCACAGAGTTGCTCTGTGCATGCACTGTCCATATTTTGAGCCTTCTGGACATTTGGCAGCTTCAAAACAACCCTGGATTACCAGTAAGAGAGGTAGGGCAGTACAGTGCTGCTGAGATACTGCTTCTTACTTTATACAGCACAATGTGCATCATATACTAATGTAAATATTACTTTGGCTCGGGGCTTGCAGGCAGCAGGTATTGAAAGTCCAGAGCAGAAAAAGGCTAATTAAGTTGCTTTTCTCCTCTTCTCTATGCATGCATGGGTTGGTTCTTTATTTTCTGTAAAGTCAACGTGTGCTCCCTGAGCTCCATTAGATTCAGCATAGCATGTTCCTGTTGGGGTAGTGCAGAGCAAGCGGCAGTGGTGCAGTAGATTAGAAGAAACGTCTGTCCCTTTTCCCTTGTCATCTGCAGTCCAAGTTGCAGAAAGGGTGTTCTGCTTCTTCACTGCTATTCAGAATGTCACAAGCGTGGAACAGTTTTGTTGTCCACATGTCAGTATTTGACTGTGAATTTTAAAGGCAGCTTTTCCAAGCATAGGTCATACCTTGCTTCCTCCGAGGGGAAAATGATGCCAAGGTCTAAGCAGAAACAGTATAATCACATGAGTGGCTTTTAGCGTGAGTACTGAAGAAGCACTTAGACTTTTATGTTTTCTGGAAGGAACGCATCAAACTTGAGACAGGACCACTGTAATCTGTTACTTGGCTGTAAAGAGCAAATAACTGTGGTCACACAACATTCTTCTGTCTGTCTGTGCTTCCTCGGGTACTGTTCAGCCTGACTGTGCCGGTATCAGTGCGTCCAAGGCAAACCCAGGCAAGCTGCTTCCCAGGAAGCTGGGTCTATGGACTGGACAGCATGCTGAAGCTTCCATTGCCCATCTTGCTGCACAGCTGTGTTGGCTCTGCAGATGAGTGTGCAGCATGTCATTGCCACACTTCAAACACAGCAGAGGCCCAGCCTGGTTTTCATTAACATGCCATTTGTCTGTGGTAGCTCGCAGTAAAAGTGAAGGTTATTAACGCATGAGCATGGAGCTAGACTGGACTCCAGGCAGAGTTACGGAACCAGTCATGCTGATAAATGATCATCAACTGAGGTTCGATTTGTAACCTGGGGAGAGCTTTCAGTTTGGTTGGTAACAGCAAGGGGCAGGAGAGGGGAAAGCGTGTTTTGTCAGAGAGATAAATGTCAATTCCTCTTCTGAAACATTTGCCTTGAGCCTGGCTATTTGTTTAGAGAAAGCTGCACAGACTTGTGCCGCAGACAGCAAATATTCTCCTTGTCTTTTCCACAGTTCTTCTCACAAAAGAATATGACTGTTCTAGTTCTTTAATGTGGACATAATGTAATGTTGAAGCATATATTTTGGTACTATATTGACATCAATCTGGGGTGATCTGTGCCAGCTGAAGAACCTGTGCCACTGTGTCCTTTGAAGGTATCTGCAGTACCTGGTTGATTGCTGTCAAGTATTCACTGGTATCTGCGATGTGGACAAGACTAGTTTTATTCTAATGCCTTTGAGCCATGTCCACAGTTCTCTTTCTTCTGTTTCCTCCTTTTCATGACAAGATGTACATCCTCTAACTGCTTGAATTTGTAGATAGCAAGCTACGTGAACAAATTTGCCTCGGACATCTCTATCTTGCAACGGTCACTAGCAATCCTGGAATCCATGGTGCTCAACAGCCACGACTTGTATCAGAAGGTGGCACAGGAGATCACAATTGGGCAGCTAATCCCACATCTGCAGGGGTGAGTGTCTTCAACTGCCACCTGATACAGTGGAATTCCCTCCTCCCACCCCAAATGAGCACAGCATTTGGAAAAAGGAGTGGTATAAAGACAGGCAACCTCCTGTCTGAGTCCTGCATCCACTGTACGTGAGTGAATGGCACTTCAAGGATGTGATTGATTCCACCATTCTTGAATGCTGAGTCTGGAACATCTCTTTCTTGATAGTGGAGACAACCTGGACATGACCAACATTGACCAGTCACCTAACTTATACATGGTTAACATTAAGTGCAAATAGCCCCTCCATTTGTGCCTTTGGAAATGCAACTGGAAGATCAGTTTCTATAGCTTGTGTGTATTCATGTTTTTCTCTCATGTTTCTAATTTTATTCCAAACAGGACAGACCAGGAAATCCAGACGTACACCATTGCAGTAATAAATGCGCTCTTCCTTAAAGCACCGGATGACAAGAGGCAGGTAAGTTGTTCCTACGTATGTGTAGTGTGTCATGTTCATACCTGCAGTTGTCCCAGTCCCTCTTTCACTGCAGTTAATTCAAACTGAAACTTGTTCTGTTGCTTCATGCTGCTGTATGATTTATTTTAGCAGAGCTACCTCCATCTCACACCAATATTCGTAGGCATTAAGCATTCTTCTGTGCTTTTGTAGTCCCTGTAACCTCACATGAACCATATTGACTGTGGCTGGCTGTAGTATTTATTGTACTGAAGTCTTTGCCAGCACAGCTTGTAAAACCAGCCTATTTTTTGGTAAACTGTTTCCCCCAGGATATTTTAATAAAGAGCGTGTTCCTTTTGGACATGGAAATATCTTGCCATGTGAGCATTTAGTCACTTTTATAATGTACTATTTTAAGTGGACTTCAGTGCCAGAGATCAGAAGCCTCAAAAGGAAATATTCCAAGATTGCTAGTTGCTGTTGAAGGAGGATGGAATGCAATGTGTTATGGAATAGAGGAGTTTTAGCCATGTTCATGAAGTCGTTAGTCTGTGTCAAAACACATTTATTCATTTATGTATTTAACATTTCTGTCACCAAGAATAGTGATGATAACTCCTGTGGTGACATACAGTTAGTGTCCAGAACAAGCTCACCGAGTCCTGCCGATCAGTTCTGACAAGGACTCTCCTTAGATGTATTTATGTTTTTAAATGCTGGAGGTTGTTTAAACAAACATCAAAGCCCTAATGGGTAATTTTTCTGTTTTGCTTCAAAAATGTTTTTAAAATTGAAAACAGGCGAAAGTAAAACCAGGATTTAATTAAAAAAAAAGGCAGGTTTTTTTCCCATTCCTCTTTTCCTTCTCCTCCAATACACTCTTCAGTTATTAAGGGAATAAGGCACCTCATGAAGAAAAATTGGAAGAAAAGCTTTCTTTCAGTTTTGGCATAAAACCAGATCGTGAGAATCTAATGCTCTGGTTTGGCTTGAAGGCCGGTAGCTCTGACACTTGCAGAAAACATCCTTCAGCCTTTAATAATCTATGATAACCAGTTGGAATCTGTGAGGTTTCTCTTTATGTTGTGTTTAAGTATAAAACCACACATTGAAGAAGATAGATGTCCATTAGCTTCAAGATCAGGTTAACTGGTATTGTTTACCAAGTTCTGTCGTTCTAAGACAACAAACTGAGGTGATGCAATCTGATGGAGGATACTCCAAAGTTAAGGTTCAGCACTCGCCACTAATGGGGGTTAGGAGTGAGAAACTGCCCCAAACCCCATATGACTCTAGAAACTGGCACCATCTCTGCTGCTGTCTTATGGAGACCAGCATGATGTGGAGCATTGAAATGAAACTGTGAATGGTGGAAACACTTCTTTGGTAATTCCCTGCATTTTTGCAGACATGTTTCTATGGAAAATGAGTTGGAAATTTTGTCAGATAATTCTTATTCTCAGTTGTTACTTCAGAAGAGGGAGCTCCACTAACAGCCATGCAGCCTTCTCAGAGAAGGTTGATTTTGATGCAGTAATTGGTTTTGTGAATGTTTGTTGCTCCTATCAGTTTTTGGTCCAGTGACAAAAAACAATATCCCAATAACAGCTTTTTAAATTACAGGTATAAGAGAAAAGTCACAATTTGATAATTCCCTCCAAAGAGTCAAATAAGAGAATTCCCTTTTTCTTTTTTTGCCTGGAATGGAGACAAGTCGACTTCATATACTTCAGCTGCCCCTCTTTTGGCAGTGGATATGCTTTGACAAAACCAGCCAGTCTGTTCCCTGCACCATGAAGTATATGATGTGCTTGGCACTCCCCCTGCAGCTCAGTTGAGCATTTCCAAAAGAGATGGAAGCATCTGTATCATTCATTCCTTTGATGTTAAGTGCAGTTGAAACCTGCTCAGCCAGAAAAAGCTTAAAACTAAAGCTGAGTTTCTCTTGTCTTTGGTCCTTTCTCCCTTCCTTACAATTCCCATGTTCTGTTGCAGCACCCATTATCTGGTCTAAAGAAAACAGTCAACATCCATGGCTGCATTTACAGCCCTACAATTAGAATTAAGCATGTGTCAGCATTGATGTGATTTGTTGTGCTGTATTATGTAAGGCAGTGATACATGAGCTCTATTTCCAGTCAATGATTTACTAATTCCAGACATTACCCCTTCGTGTATATATAAACAGTGTCTCAATAGCAGTGTGCAATGTTATCCAAATCCTTTCATAGTACATTAAAAAAACAAAGGAATTTAAAAGTGATTACATGATGATAATTACTATAAGCTGAATGCATCCCATATGCTAGTGTATGTCCACATGCACACACATATACTTCTATATTGATGGAAAAGATTATGAAACTTAAAAATGGGACATGAACTTGTAGGTCTGGTTGAGAATAGACTCATGATTGACTAGTGTGAAATGCTCCCTCCTGTGCATAGGACAGGTTACAGCATGAGCAGCCAGGATCAGCTGCTTAAGAATGAGAGTAAAAGCAAATTCTCCCTGATAGTGGCTTGAGACAAGTCTAGAAGGAAATGTTAAGACATAGTTGATCAATGCCAACACTTTTACAAGGGCCTGTAGGGACAGGACAAGGGGAATGGCTTGAACCTGCCAGAGGGGAGACTGAGATGAGCTCTGAGGCAGAAGCTCTTCCCTGTGAGGGTGCTGAGGCGCTGGCACAGGGTGCCCAGAGGAGCTGTGGCTGCCCCATCCCTGGCAGTGTTCAAGGCCAGGTTGGACACAGGGGCTTGGAGCAACCTGCTCTAGTGGAAGGTGTCCCTGCCTGTGGCAGGGGTTGGAAGTGGATGAGCTTTGAGGTCTCTTCCAACACAAACCAGTCTGGGATTCTATGATTGCTACCAAAATCCAGGCGAGAAATATTAATTGCTATAATGAAACCATTCTGAGATGTAGGCTGATTAACTGAGTAAAAGTTAGAGCACTTGACTTCAAAACAGCCAAAATATTAATATAAATAAGCATTTCATTTGACATCTTGTTTTAAAGTGCTGGCTGGCTCCCATTCCATGCTTCATTCTGTGTTTGCAGGGGGGATGGCTGTGCTTGAACAAGTGTATGTAAATGCTGTTTAAGCCACAGAGGTCTCTTCTGAGGGTCTTTCATTGCTGGTTTTGGATCACCAAAGTCCTCAGCTTTTGACATACTTTTTACTTTCTTTTCCCCTTTTCTCCTAATAGAGTAATTTGAGTTTGTGACCCCCAAACCAGCACATACAATCATATAGCTGATAGACTGCTTCATTTACTTTATAAGTAGCACTGCAGGAACATGAGAATAAAACATTTTAAGTTGCTATTCTCATAGGTATGGCATAAAAATACCTGCTTCTGGCTAATTCTTATTTTTATTTTACACTAAACCAGGAAATGGCAAACATTTTGGCACAAAAGCAGCTTCGCTCCATCATCTTAACGGTAAGTATATAATTTTCACAAGTTATTTTTCACTAGCAGGGAGAAAAGGTGACTGCAGTTTTGGTGTTACTGCTTTTATCTTAATGCGTTTTAATTACACTTGTATTTTGATATGTTTTGAAGCCTGTTACATACAAATAAAGGTTTGGTTGTTGAATAGTTGGAAAACTGGTTGCCAGAAAGGGTGTTTTCCCAGGCAAATAGATGGTGGTTTCTTCATGAAAATATAATACTAAATACTTCTGTGTTTTTTCAGTTCTGCAGATTATTCTGTCTTGTTATAGAATTGCACACAATTTGTCTCCACTTGCACAAAAGAAGCATGAAATAAAGCTCAGAGTGAAGTTAATGAATATAACATAAAAGACTTGCATCTGCTATCATGGGAAACCAGAAGGATTTTACCTTTGGCCTTAAAGTAGCTTATATCGTTAAGGGAACAAAGGAAAGAACTCTTTCTGTGTTACGAGATACTGGGCAGTGTAAAACAAAACCAGACAACAGCCAAACAACCCCTTGCTCTCTCTCCCATGTTCACTGTCATAGTTTCAGGGATCCATACAAAAACCCCGCAGGGTTTGTTTCAGAAGGCATGCTTTTACATTGCTGTGTCCATAACAAATTTAGTGTAAGCAGATGGATCATATTCTTACGTGGTCATTTACGATCAGAAAATGCTCCAGTGGCTTTTGGCACACAAATTCTGTTATTCTCTGGAACTGTACAGTGTCAGTTGCTGTCTCCACCTCCTAAACTTGGTGGGTTTTGGCACACCAGGGATTCTGAAGTTGCCCACCAATTTGGTACCTGCTTTCTGCCCATATGAGACATTGCATAAATGTGTTTCTGAGCATCTTCCTCATACAGAATGGAGTTACCTGGTAGAGGTGAGATTGTGGTGCGACGTTTGATGTTGACGCCTGCAGCCGGAGCCCTGTTGTATCTCTGTATTCATGGCCTGTGTTTGCAGCCTGCTCTTCTTCTTGCAGCCTGTTACTTCTCTGCTCCGGCAGTTACTCTCTTAAATGATTTCTTAATATACATATTTTTTATTTTATTTTAATTTTATTTAATTTTATTTTCTT